CCTTTAAGGATATGTGACTTCATAAATAATATTGATTCGCTGTAATTTGAATCTTGAGGGTCAGTTGTTGTTGATGATATGTTTAACATTTTTAAATTTTATAATTGATAATTAATTTAATTTTCTTGTCGTGGTTGTATATTTCTTTACAATGATTCTAAGAGAAAATTCATTTTACTTATAGCACACATACACACACGTATATATATATATATATATATATATATATATATATATATAGGGGGAGAGAGAGAGCAACAAAGAGACAAAGAGAGACAGAGAAAGACAGAAAAACAGAGAAAGAAAGACAGAGACAGGGAGATAGATATCTATGTATTTCACAAATATTTTCACACCACACAGATTAACAGCTTGTGCCTTAGTGGCTTTGTCATCCGGTTTGGAGTAAAAAGATAAAAATCCTTCTGTCTCTCTCACTCTCTCTCGATATATATATATATATATATATATATATATATATATATATATATATATGGTTGTACTCGCTTGGGAAAATCGTGGGTATTTCGCTTTATAGTTGAACAAACCAGTAGCCAAGGAAAAATGAGGAATACAAAAAAGAAAGAACTAAGACCATGAAATTGAGGCGAAAACAATCGTCCAGAATTCAAACTCAGAGTTCAAAGAAAAAAACTTTCAAAACGAGGAAAAGGAGCAACGTAAAGTGCTCGATACACGAAGTGGAGCAAACCTAATATAAACCTAAAGAGCCAGGTAAACCTACCTAGGTTTCACCTATACGGATCATCAGGGTAATGCTGGCCAAAAAGGTAAAAATGGAACAGAATATATAGCTTAAACCAAAAACAACCATGACCACGTGACAAAAAAAAATAGTAAAAACTCAACAGCAATATATATATATATATATATATATGTATATATATATATATATAATGGACTCTCCCGTCGGTTTCGATGATTGATTCAGTTATTATATATATATATATATATATATATATATATATATATATGCCTTTACAATTGGAATTAAGATATCTTTAGTAAACGACTACTTTGAAAATAAACATTGAACGCTCTCTTGTGAGTCAGTTTAACATATTTCAAATTTTATGTTCTGTTTATAGGACTCACCTGGATTATATATATATATATATATATATATATATATATATATATATATATATATATATATAAGGTAAGTATTTAATATTTATTTTATTAAGAACTTTGGCTCTGAATAGATGAATATATACAAATATTCACGAAATAAATTATAACCAAAATGAATCATTAAGGTTTTCTTCTTGATTATTATTATTATTATTATTATTATTATTATTATTTGTAGTTTCCATTGAGCTCTCTCTGGATTAATATCCTCCTTGGAATTATCCGTACCTGTTACAAATTGGTAACACACACACACACACGCACACACACACACACACACACACACACATATATATATATATATATATATATATATATATATAATGTATCTTTCTTTGAAACATCTTTCCTTGAATAAGGCCGACAAGGAATTAATTTTTTTTCATTAAGGTTTGCCATCATCCTAACATTTTTCTGTTTTGTAGGAGTTTAGGAATAGCAAAATTTTCGATAATTTTTGTCTATACCAAGCGCTTTCGGCCAATCCTATAGCCATTTTTAAGGGTGTTTTTTCTCTGGTGTTCATTATTGTTTTTAGGTGGGGGAGGTTCTGGATATGACCTAAAACTACATCCGACAATGGCGTCTCGACTAGTAGACAGAATCAGGTTACTCCAAATCATAGCTACCTACAGGTGATCCCTGGCTAAGATCTAGCACTTTTTCCTTCACCTTATGTTTAACATGAAAAAAAAATGGTGTTAAGTGTAAGCAGAATGTGGTGTTTGAGTGTGTTTCTCTGTGTGTACGTGTGTACATATATATGTCTCTCTGGGGTGGGGGTGGGATCAAATCTGTACTTATCACTTGAATTTAAGCACGCCGCCATATTCCTAATCAGATAGAAATTGTGACTGGTTTCCTTCCTTTATTATGGAAAAGCGTACACTGCTCGTGAACCGGAAGTCATCCACGATGACACAATAATTTGCCAAGAAGAGTCTTATGGTGTGCATTTCGGAAGATAGAAAAAGTTGTAGCTAACGGAAGATACACAAGTTGATGCCCGATCAGTATCGACTAGGTCACCGTGGAGAGGAGGTATAATGTTAAAAGACCTTAAACCCCTAATGAACCTCGGGTAGAAACATCACTGACGATGTGTACTAAAGCTTCCAATAGATGTATTTTACGAAATCTTTTTCTCTTGTTTTGACTTTTGCGTTGTAAAAAATGTTTTTTTTTTTTAAAAAAAAAAAAAAGTAGCGTTCATTCCAAGCTCTCACATGTTACGCGCGACTGGAATTCGCGGGAGCATCTTTTTAATTTTTATTTAAAAAAAACAAACTTGAACACTGCTTTTCCATTATTAAATAATGTAAGATTGATAGTAGGAGAGAGTTGAATGATTTATAGGTTCTTTCAAATAATAAGATGTTTCTGATAATGTGATTTATATAGAATTCTTATATTTTTGAGCAGAATATGTCATAATGGTTCTTGTAGATTATATATATATATATATATATATATATATATATATATATTAATGTATATTTCGACAAGGAAGATTGAATTAAGTTTTAAAGTTTTTCCAGCAGCCGAAGATTTTTCTGTTTTGTGGGAGTTAAAGAATAGAAAAATTGTCGATAATTTTTCAATGCCTCAAGCGATTTCGACCATTTTCAAGGGTGTTTTGTCCCTGGTATTATTATTTTCTTCTCATGTTTTGACTGTTGCGTTGTAAATTATATTCGTTTTGTTCTGTATCTATCTATCTATCTATCTATATATATATATATATATATATATATATATATATATATATATATATATATATATATATCAAGTATAAGGTGCAGTTCAATTTACATTACATGAATCCTTCATACAAAAAACAGATATAGAAGTTAATGATTTAAATGGCGAGAATACATCTTCGCAAACAACGGGCTGTGACATTCCTGTATTTATTGAACAATATAGTTCATGCCACATTGACTAAAAAACCTACCAGTACAAAAGAATTCTTTTACCATATTACCATATTAGTACAAAAACGAACCATCTTAAAATTTAAAAATTCAACCTCAGCTTTGCGACCGCACGTTCCAAAAAAAAAAAAATCTTACAATTAACAATAACACATTTCTAAAAGCATTTTTTCGGTTGACATCTACATTTTCGTTGTCCTGTTATTACCGAGAAGTAAAAAACAAAAACAAATCTACTTCCATACCTGAAGATGTCTGCAGGAACAGATGAAAGCTTGCATAAAACTAAAAAAGACCTTATGCAACTGGAATTTATAAACAGGGATCATAACATAGACCATCTTCAGGACATATTCATAAAACATAATTAACATCAGACCATATTCAATTCAACATGAAAAAAAAGATGGACATAAAAGCAATACCAATCCAAACAGATAACCGAAATCTTTTATAAGATCAGCGTTCCGTTTAAATATGATCACATCGTCGTCACGTGGGCGACGTTGTGAAAACGTATTCCTAAAATTTGAGTATTTTGAATGAAAAACGAAAAGAATTTTATTTTTGATCTAAAACTTATATGTACGTTTGTCGAGCATTAATCTTGTTAGAAAAGGGGAAATATTAAAGAAGCCAGGTTGACATTAAACATTAAAACAGCATAATCGCATATTAGGATTTTTTTTGTTTTTTTCAGTATATTGTTCTTCATACTGTCGGATCTATATCCATATATTTACTTATATATATATATATATATATATATATATATATATATATATATATATATATATATATATATAAATTACATATAATAATATATATTTATATAGGCTCTGTAATAAATACATTGAGCTCCCTTTGCGAATGTTTTAATATTTTATATTATTAGTATGTATTTCCCAAATGATGATTCCTTATAGGATGCATTAAAGAAACTAGCAAAGCATGAGGACATCCATATCACACTCTCTGACAAACGAGGTTATAATGGGATCATGAACAAGAACATGTAGAAAAAATTAACCATCTTTAAACTCCATTGCAGAATCATCAAGAGAACGGAAATAAGTTTTAAAAAGAGGGAACACTAGAGAGGAAAATTGGATCAGGAGGTCACAACAGGAACAGGGATCATCCTTTCAACTTAGAGCTAAAGAGATCAATTAGAAAAGGTTCAATTTAATCCGCAAAACGTTTGGCAACTGAAAGAGGAGTTTCAGCTATGACAGTCCAACGAGCACTGAAAAAAACTTGAAAATGAAATTGTACGTGAAACGTGTGAGAGACCTTGTTATCCAGGACAGAAAGTTAGAAGTTTAAAGAGGGTGAAGATATTCTTGAATAAGTTGGAAAATAATCCTGAGTATATATATATATATATATATATATATATATATATATATATATATATATATATATATTTTTTTATTTTTCAATCCTTCATGAGCCTCCGATCCTTAGCTATGATTAATTAATGATGAACATGTCATTTTCGTTTTATGACTGATTTCATTACGATTCTTTTGTTAAGTTTGGAGAGTAATTATATATTCTTATTGCTCAAAGTAGTATCAAATAGTGTTACAAAAATCCTCGGAGAATTCCAGTAAGATATCTTGAATCATTTCTAAGATACTATGACTGAAAGCTTAATCTAACAAATAGACAATTTTGCTGTTACAGGATTTGGACACCTCTGCTGTTACATCCGGCATATATATATATATATATATATATATATATATATATATATATATATATACATTCCACACACAAACAAAACACACACACATATATATATATATGCATGCATGTATGTATGTGTTCTTGTATAGAATATAGATATCCATATTCTAAGGCAGAAATAAAATAAATTTATTATTAATATATTTTCAAACCTATACTCCTGAATACTAGTATATATATATATATATATATATATATATATATATATATATATATATATATATATATATATATATATGTATGTGTCACTTCTGTATATATATATATGTATGTATATGTATGTATGTATTTTCAGCTTGAAGTTTCAGTTTCAGCACTTAAATTAAGCCTCATTCGTATTATTAGGAACACGATCCTATGCCATTCAGGTCTTAGGATATCACCGTAAGTGGTTGTGTAATTCAAGTGTATTCGTCGCGCGTTGCACTCTGAAAACGCCTTGCAGAGACTCAGAAGCCAAAAATAAACCCTGCAAGTCTCAAATATCGAACGCGATCACAGATTCGAAATCAATTTCCCTCTCGCCACATATATATATATGTGTGTGTGTGTGTGTGTGTGTGTGTGTGTATGTGTGCGTGTGTGTGGGGGGGTGCTTATTGGAAAGCGGTCAGTATCAGTGACAGAGCTGACATATTTAGTTGTATGGGTACGTGTTTTTGACTCTGGGTTTCACGCTTTACCTATCATTAATCACCGAAGCTTGAAACCCATGGTCAAAACTCATATCCGTACAAATGAATATATATATATATATATATATTTTTTTTTTTTTTCCTCTCACACTTGCCTTTTATTGTACATTTTTCTGTGTTTAATTTTAAATTAAATCTCCCGTTGAAGCCTGAAGAGGGAGCGAAACCGGGTTGCTTCTGCCTGTTTTAATATGTCTCGTAATATTAAGTTTTACACTTTTATTTTCGATCATTAAATTTTGTACCTACAAAAAACCTTTAAAATATATATATATATATATATATATATATATATTAGAAAGAGAGAGAGAGAGAGAGAGAAAGATATATAGTTAGATATTTATATATATATAGGAGTATAGGTTTGAAAATAAATTAATAATAAATTTATAAATATATTTTCTAATATATATATATATATCTATATATATTCGAAAAGAGAGAGAGAGAGAAAGATATATAGTTAAATAGATATAGATAGATATATATATATATATATATATATATATATATATATATATATATATATATATATATATATATATATTCGTACGTATGTATAGGAGTATTTTAATATATATATATATATATATATATATATATATATATATATATATATATTCATATGCAGGATAGGTTTGAAAAATAAATTAATAATAAATTTATAAATATATTTTCTAATTAATTTATTTTTTAATTAATATATATATATATTAGAAAGAGAGAGATATATCGAAATAAAAAAGAGAGATATCGAGAGAGAGAGATAGAGACTGAGAGAGAGAGAGAGAGAGAGAGAGAGAGAGAGGGAGAGACGCTGTTTAATTTCATCTAGCGTTTCATAATGCCACTAAGATGCAAGGAGTAACTGAGAATGAAAAGGAACAGAGGATATTAAACAGAACAGCAATCAAGGAAGCAGAATATGACGATTGACATTCCATTTTAATTTTTGAACATCCTTGTGCACAATAAAAATGGAATTCAGTAAACCAAGTGGTGTAAGACAAATACGTGTCGTCTCACCAGACTTATTCAAGCTGCAGGGTGCGGCGATTCTCAGAGAATTGGAAGTCCGACTGGGATTCATTATTGGCGGCTACAATCTTAACGACATAAGATGGTACAGTGTTGACACCAGACACAGAAAAGAAACTAAAAGTACTGCCACAGAAAGTAGTGAAGGAAATCGAAGCACTAAACATCAATTGTTAGAAAACGGAAGAGCCCAACATATAAATTTCAAATCAAAGATACCAAAATAAAATTAGTAAAACCATTTAAATATCTGCGAAGTGTTCTGACAGAGGACGAAATGTACGACGCTGAAATCTGAACGTGCGATGGTATAACGAAATATACCTCCCAAATGCTAAGGAAATTTGTGAGAAATAGAGAAAAATACTTCGTTAGAAAAGAGTACTGAACAGTTATGTGATATCTGTTGTTGTGGAGTAGCTGAGCACCCCCACAATATGAACTGGACTAAGAATATTTAAACAGCACTCTTTCTTAGTAGTTAACGATTACAGTTAACTCTGCTGGTTGACTCTCTGGCGGAGAGGAAGCCAGGCTAGTCTATACCGAAGAGCAGAGTCTAGTCTGGGGAGGTAGACAGCTACACGACACCGTGTATACGGGGTCTACGGGACAATTTTTGCCTGGGCCTACGGGCTTGGAACGCCCTACGTAAAAAGAACCGGTCTTGTATCACATCCCGCCTTGTGGGGGGTTTCGGTTAAATACCAAGAAGTTAAGGATTAACTGATTATTGCATTAATCTGTCTTCTCAGACGTGTGTCATATTATTCCCGGAATTAACTACTTCTTACTTTTTATATGTATGTCAATTTTTTCTATTTACGAGAATACATATGCCCTCCTATATGGCAGGGAATGCTGGGCAATCTCCTCCAGGTGTGACCTCCTGGTCCAGTTTTCCTTTCTACTATTCCGTCTTTTTTAAATTTATTTAGCGTTCGCTTGATAGTTCTTGAATAGACTTTGAAGATGTAAGCCAGAGCAAGAAACTTCGTACCATGAAAAACAGAAGAATCGTGATCGAAATCGATCATAAACGAAAATATCATGTTCATCATTAATTAATCATAGCTAAGGATCGGAAGCTCGTGAAATATTGAAATAAATTTCATATAAATTCATATACTTGTATATATATATATATATATATTAAGAAATGGACAAGGTCCGACAATTTATTTATTAAAGACATTTTTATGTTTAACGTTGTTTTTTTTTTATAGATACAAGTATTTAGGCAAATGCTCTGTTTATGATAAACAGTATTAAATAACATTTACCGGCCTGAATGTCCGAGAAATTTTCATAGAAAATATTCGTTCTTTGACAGGATTCGAACCTGCATCCTATACGGAACCGTCATTTACGCTGACGTGCCTTAGCGATCGGCCACAAAGAACCTTTTCGGTAGACAAGGTCGAATTTACTGCATATAAACTTCAATCTTCCATGAATCTCGTACATTCATAACTGCTCTGGCGTAAATGACGGTTCCGTATAGGATGCAGGTTCGAATCCTGTCAAAGAACGAATATTTTCTATGAAAATTTCTCGGATATTCAGGCCGGTAAATGTTATTTAATACTGTTTATCATAAACAGAGCATTTACTTAAATACTTGTATCTATAAAAAACAACGTTAAACATAAAATGTCTTTAATAAATATATATATATATATTTATATATATATATATATATATATATTTCATATATATACATATATTTCATATATATATATATATATATATATATATATATATATATATATATATATATACGAGTATATGATATATACATATTATATATACAAGTATATGATATATATATATGTATATATATATATATATTATAATCTGATTAGATTAATTAACATTATCAATTCAATATGACAAAGACGATGGACATAAGAACAAGATTTATCCAAACAGAAAACTCATAAAACTTTCAGTTATCTGTTTGGATAAGTCTTGTTCTTATGTACATCGTCTTTGTCATGTTGTATTGATAATGTTAATTATATTTTATGAATATGTCCTGAAGATGGTCTACTAGACCGAAACGTCCGACGTTGACATATTAAGATTAAAACAGCATAATTGCATATAAGGATTTTTGTTTGTTTTTTTCCGTATATTTTTCTTCATACTGTCGGATCTATATCCATATATTTGCTTACATATATGTGTAAGCAAATATGTGGATATAGATCCGACAGTATGAAGAAAAATATGGAAAAACAAAAATCCGAATATGCAAGTATTCTGTTTCAATGTCGACGTCAGACGTTTCGGTCTAGCAGACTTTCTTCAGGACATAGTTATTAAAAACATAATTAAAATTAGACGATATTCAAGTCAACATGAAAAGACGATAGACATATGACTATTCAAAACAGAATAACTACATATTCGGATTTTTGTTTTTCCGTATTTTTTCTTCATATATATATATATATATATATATATATATATATATATATATAATGCAATATATATTTATATAAAAATATATATATATATATAATTTCATATATATTTATATATGTATACATATGAAATATATATATATATATATATATATATATATATATATATATATATATATATATATATACAGATGTTTCATTGAAACGACAGACAAGGTACTACAGTTGAGCTTTTTATTTAATTTTTTCTTGTGTTCTGACAAGAGCTTTTTTCTGGACAAAGAGTGTGTAAGAAAGCTCTTGTCAGAACACAAGAAAAATTAAATAAAAAGCTCAACTGTAGTACTTTGTCTGTCGTTTTTAATGAAACATGCATAAAGGAAGGATTGCTGCCTAAATATACAAATATATATATATATATATATATATATATATATATATATATATATTCCAATATCATTTTCTAACTTATTCAATATTATCATTCACCCTCTAACCTTCTGTCCTGGAGTAACAAAGTGTCTCTCAGGTTTCACACACGATTTCATTTTCAAGTCTTTTTTCAGTGCTTTTTGGGCTGCCATAGTTGAATCTCCTCTCTCACGTGCCAAAACCCTTTATGGTTTGGGTTGGATCTTTTCTAATTGATCTCTTTAGCTGCAATCTGAAATGATGATCCCTCTTCACGTTGTGACCTCTTGATCTAGTTTTCCTTTCTACTGTTCTCTCTTTTTAAAACTTATTCATCGTTCTCTTGATGGTTCTTGAATGGAATTTGACGATGGAAGCCAGAGTAACATTACTGAAGGCCTGAATGATCTTTTTCCTCTTACCATTGCTCATTTGGGAAGACACAAAACGATTTTAAACTCATATCTCGAAGGCCAAATAGTGTCAAGATAGCTAAACGTCTTATCTGAAAACTTATATAAAAACAAATGAATGTTTTTTTTAGATATTAAATATTTTGTGGGATGGACAATTATCGACGATTTTG